AGAGAGAGAGAGAGAGAGACAGACAGAGAGTGGAATGAGGCAGAGACAAGGATATATAATATATATATATATATAACATTCAATCAAGTTAATTAATTATACCTATCATTCCTCTCTCTGCAATTCGAACAGAGGAATGGAATGTCTTTACCATCTTTCATCATTGCGCGGTAGACCTCTAGGGATATACCTGAAATACAAAAAAAGAATAGACAAAAATTATACATTTTAAACATATATATATGGCATATAATATTGTGCTTTAATTACTTTTAGACTGCATGCATGGTTAAATTGTTTCAATACGAATATAATTACATTTTCTCATACCTGTATTGCATATTCTGTGCTGCCATAAATTGCATATATCGCAGCAAACAGCATGTTGCCTCGTTGTAACTTTTCTTATACACTCTACGCAGTTGTCCATGGTTGTGTGCTGGTATTCTAACGGTGTGTAAATGAGCATACGAGTACTATATAGTGCTTATATATTGTGTTTGCGTAGATCTTGCGATGTGCGCGCTCATTCGCTAGACTCGTGCGGGGAGCACGTGCGCGCATATGGCACGCATCATTTCATGCTCTTTGACTTCATTGTCATGCGCAGGTTGACACTTATAATCGAGTTCTTGCTGTCACCACGTCTACGTAGTACTCGCGACCACGTTATCCTCAAACGTGTCGCATGCTGATTATCTGGTTTTCAAAGGATTTCCGCGACCAACCCCCTTAATTAATTGTTATGTTCATGTTCATGAAAAGACACGTGCGCGCGCAAAGTCTTGTAAGATTTGTTGTTGTTAATGAGTACGTTAATGAGGCTCGCGTTGATCACTTTACATACATTGAAGCGGCGATAGCGGTGTTTTTACACGTCACTTTCGGGAGCGCTTGCATGTAGTTACTGACGCTATGCGGTAAAAATTAACAAGCTAGCTCTCATTCAGCTGGCCATTGGTCGTAATCAGTTGTGTTTATAGACGTATGCTAGTCTTTACGAGTCTTTATACAATATGCTGAAGAGTTGTGTTGCCTGGGGCTGCAATAACCACAATTTAATATGATGACAGACATTATTTCTTTACATTGCATACCAGCAAATATCACAAGAAGAAATGCGTGCATGTATACACGCTATTATAAATTAAGGGTGCAATCTGATGGTTTGCCATGGCATGGGTTCCTGTAAAACATTCTGTGATATGTGGGAAGCATTTTATATCAGGTATGAATGGCCGAGACTTGTTTGTTGCACCATAGTACTGAAAATAGACTTATGGATAGATTAGATTTATTTCTTTGGCACCATCAAATAGTGGCAATTTGGCGAGTGGGGAATCCTTATCGGAAGGGATTTGATATATAACTTATAAACACGAAGGATCCTTCCTATCATATATTATTATGTTATATAATAAGACAAAAAATTTCTGTTGTCACATCGTCATCCATATCAGGAGTAGATAATAGGGATTATTATTATCTACTCCTGATCCTATCCCTATTCCTACATCCTACTCCTCCTCCCTATTATCTACTCCTGATCCATATGCTAGTCGTAAAACCTGTTGTACCACCACTGCACCAGCTCCTGGTCTTATGTACATATTGCTCTTACGTGACAACATGCAAACGTGCGAATTCAAGGTTGCTGCCCGATTGCTAGTCAAACAATAACAAATAATAGCTTGATGGGGTTTGTGCTTTATTGTTTCAACACTTGCACATACACTGAATACAATAGGTGCGTGGGTGACTATAAAATTAGGTTGTTCCATCATGTGGGAAACATCTCGACCTAGATATAAAACATAATATATAAATATATAATGATGATGATCTATAATGAAATATATATTAATAATATATACACAACATATAAATATAATTAATATAGGGGCCTATATTAATAATATATACAAAACATATAAATATAATTAATATAGGGGCCTATATTAATAATATATACAAAACATATAAATATAATGACCTTATTTGTATGGTGCGCCGTGGTATATAACAGAATTAAACTTTAGCTGAAAATATTTTCATTGTGTCATATGCTAACTTGCTTTTTTTCATGAGAGAGAGAGAGAGAGAGAGAGAGAGAGAGAGAGAGAGAGAGGAGAGAGAGAGAGATGGAGAGATGGAGAGATGGAGAGATAGAGAGAGAGAGAGAGAGAGAGAGAGAGAGAGAGTCAGTCAGTCAGTCAGACTAAATTGTTTATAAACACTGGCTGTGATGCATGCATATACACACACACAGTCATCAGTGTCAACAAGATCGTTGACACATTCTGTGAGAGCAAACAGAGGCGACCTATGTGTGTCTGACAGTTTGCCTGAATGTAATATATACAGTCATCCATACAAATGCGTTGACTGCTGTCTGCGCTTGAGATTACCCCCCTCTGTTGGACTAACAATATTTTTACATAGTCGCGCGGCTGTACAAAACGTCACCTGATGCATATAGGTTAAATTATATAATTGACTGGCAAAGCAGGTTACAACCCTTTTCCAGCTTTTTCACAATTCCAAGAAAGTTTTGCTGTCGCCCTCATCCCAGCGGTGGTCACCCCTACACATTGAATAATGAACGCGACTTAAACAAATGCCGTGATGCATGGGTGTCGATCGCGGGGGGGGATGGGGGGATATACCCCCCCTCCCCCCAATATTTGAGGTGGGGGATGGCCTGTGTTATTATCCCCCCTAATATTTCAAGGTCAAATTTTTAAAAAAAGTCGTAATATGTGCAGATAAATCGATTACCTTATGATTTATTATGTCAACTTTGATCTTGAAATCGCATCACATTTTCTAATGATTATAGATTTGGACAATTTTAGGAAGTTAGGCAGTAATAATCAAATACACGGTACCCATTAAAATCCGCCATTCTGGAAGTAGTTTATTTTCCGCCTTAACCAAAATACGGATTTCAAAACCACGTCAAATTATGCACGTTTCTTATACCGCAGCGCTGCCTTACATGGTTTTGATATTACGCTTTCATCAAAACATAGGCCTATACAAAACACGACGAATTATATTGTCAGATATAATCATTTTTTTAGAAGGGTGGTGACAAAAGACGAGAAATATGAGCAAAACAAAAACATGTGCAGCCTTCAAACTTGAGGCAATTCATTGAAATATCAGGTCACTCAAATTTTTTATTATATGCATAATGAATAATTAATATTATATGAATAATTTAGAGAAGCTTGTACCATCACATTATTTACAATCCGCATCATCAAATCTTACTTACAATTGTAGCCCTCGTTGGTACAAGCTTCTCTAAATTATTCAGTATTTCGTATTTTCATGTCGAGAGCAGTAAACATGACATTAGAGATGGTGCTATATTGCTCTTTACTCACTTAGTTGATAACAACCATTAACTGTAAGAATTAATACATAATCAAACACTTAATTGTGTAATAATGTTACATGGTAATTATTGTTGCTGTTCTTGTTATCTTCGTAGTGAATTTGGACTACATTCAATTACCTAGAAAGTCATTTTAAAATGCTCTAAAATGCATTTTTGAAAAAGTCCCTACCATGGGAACGGGTGTATCCACCCCCCTCCCCCCCTGCTCGGTCGCTTCACTCCCTCGCTGAGGATCATCCTCCCCAATCATGAAATCAAATCGACACCTATGCCGTGATGTGAAGTGATGTGCAATGAGTGACGTTGTGTGTTTGAGCACACACATGCGCCCACACGCACCCGCATACGCTCGCTCGCACGCACGCACGCTCGCACACATAGAAGGAGAGAGAGAAAGAGAGAGTTTAAGAATGTGCGTTGGTTCAACATGTCTTGATAATAAAATGAAAATTACATGATTAGTTAGAGTGATCTTTAGTGATCAAATCTTGTTGCTCATGAAGAGAATAGTTTTACTAAAAAGATCATTGTCGTAGTCAGAATGAAGACTGTACATTTACTCAAAAGTGCAGTAAAATACCATCTCCTGCGATCTACATTTTCAAAATTTTATTTCACATTGTTATGGTTTTCAAAAAAAGTTTTGGGTTACTTGTGTAATAACATATAAAAATATCACTTATTTTAAATTTAAATATAAAATTTTTTAAATAAGCACATGCGTTATTTATTCAAGTTTGAACTTCAGACTGCGGACTCCCTCTCCGCTTTTTGATGGCAGCTATAGGGAGTCCGTTAGACTCCCTTGTTCAAAAGTTAATTTCTACCCCGTATATCATATGTCTGATACTGTATAGCCATAAATTAATTGCATCCTCTGATTTTGCTATTACCAATAGTAAAACACAGAAATTAAAACGACACAAATACCTGTTAATCAAAAATTCATAATATAATGGTGCAAAAATGTACGCTACATACATTAATTAACGCTTTCTATCAATCTCAGCGCATATTATTATGAGCGAAGTGGCTCCTGCTACGCTAATTGGATCGTTCGTCAGGGTTAGGGAATTAGGCATGTACGGTGGTCTAACCAAAACTAACCAGCTACTGGTGTCAGCCCAGTTGAGTCTTCATATCGACTGGCTGCATTAAGCCTGGCGCACATTGCCGAACATTTTCCCGAACAAATGTTCGTCCGAACAAATGTTTTTGTCTGGCAATGTGCGGGTGAACAATTACTGAGCGCACATTGCCGAACATTTTGCAGCGAACAACCTCGTGGCGCCGTCAAATAGCTGTGTGGTAAAGAGTCACGTGATCGGCGCATGATTGGGCACAAAAATCATGTGACCACATATCGTGCTGCTATTGGTTACTACTTTACAAATGTTCCTAGAATTGTTCGACATTCAGCGCACATTGACGAACATTCGACGAACAATGTTCGAGATATCAAACATTTTCGATCTTCAGAAACATTGTTCGGAACAAATGTTCGGCGACTTTTTTCACCGCACATTGCCGAACATTTCATGGAACATTGCTACGATGTTTTTGAGCAAAATGTTCGGCAATGTGCGCCGGGCTTTAGAGCCACTGCTAGCGTAGCGTAGCGGCTGCTAATGGAGCATGAGCGGCGAATGCCGAACGGTGAAATGGCGAGGTCGCATAGGATTCAAATAAATGGTTCAAAATAAGTTCAATATGTTTTATCGTCTATTTAATCCTCTATCAATCATGCATTAACACGTATCTTTTATTTCTGGGCCGATTATCTTGTAAGTATATAATATAGGCCGACTCTGCTATGGGCCGACTCAGTAGGGGCCGAAAACGTTATGGTCCGAGTGATCCCGGGTACTGCCAGAACGTACCCTGGTAACTATTTGATATGATTAGGGTTAGGGTTAGGGAGTAGGCGTAGGCGACTCCCTAGACTCGTTAGTGGAGTAGGCGAGGTACGGTCCGGCATATTAGATATAGTACCAGCTAGGGTACGTTCCGGTATACCGTACTGTACCCAGGGTACGTTCCGGCAGTACGCACCCTGGGGGACATAGACCCTCTCAGCCCTATAGTAGCAGGTAACAGTGTCAGTGCACTAACAACTACTCAGTGTTGCGACTTGCGGCCGCTCTCGCGCCGCTACTCCCCCCGCTAGGCGTTTTTGAGAAGGTAAATATTTGTGATCTTGTTCATGCATGGTACATACATCATACATGTAAATCTGTGCATCACTTCGTGGTACGTAAGGTGCTTAAACCGGATTCGCACCCTAGACTCTAGAGGGGAGGTGGCAGCTGTGTACGCTGAGCTAGCAGACCTTTTATTATATATTTATTAATTTAAAGACATTACATTGGTAACAGATATGTCAATTAACATGAGCTTGTGAGCTCCTCACCGTCAGTGCAATAAAAGGATACAATTCTTAGTTAAAAGTGCCAGTCTAATCAAGTAACAAACAATGGTACGAAATGCATGGTATGACATGGTATGAACCATTCATATGGTTTTCCCCAGTCGTGTGTTTCGTCCACTGCAAAAACTAGTGCACAGCCCAGCAGCCGTTTTTGCATGCTCTTCAGACTCGAATGTAGCTGGGAACTTAATCGTAGGTGTAACTCTGGTCTGCAACACACAGCTAGTCTTACCCCATGTACACCACTGTACACAAACAAACTCGCAGAAAGAAAAGGAAACTTACTTATTTACTGTCATGAGATCGACGGTACTCGCTAGCATCGCTGATGTTATTTTTAATGTTTCAGGTTTCCTGGATCAGACGAGCCTTGCATAAGTTAGCGAGAGCAGGATCGCTATGGGAAGGTGTCTCTTGGCTGGTCATCTGCCATACTTGCTGGTCATGTTAACGGCAGTCGAGATTGGGTCTGCAACATCTAGATGCTATTGGGTATCCTGCAGTAGTGTACGTGGCTTACATATATGCATTTGCATTATTCAGCACTTGGTCATGCTATATCAACTAACTAGCTGTATAGTTATAGTACGTATAGTTTCTTAGGACGAATCACATGACCTGGATCACGCGAACCAACTCTGGTCACCCTGACCTCGATGAACTGGTCATTTGTTTGATTGGATCCACTGATGTGACCCTAGCTGCTGGTGGGGTCATTTTTGAAAAAGATCTAATATGCTGGTAATTTAGCGACTCTGCTGCCTGGCATTCCGACTGCCAATCCTTGCTATTAGCTATATGAACCATACTATAATTGGTTACAGCGACAGGTGACTGGTTGGATACGAGTGTGCGTTTGTTTGAGCAGATCAGGAACAAGTGATCCAGATCAGATGCATCCATTGCAAACAAGCAGGCTCGATCCCAAGCCTTTGAAGTGAAAAGTGGATGTACACATGCACTGTGTGATTACCCCAGCTCTCAATATTATGATATTACTTATCTATCTGTGGCTATATTTATATCAAACATATTCAGTCATTTGCAGATAAATGATTGTATCCGGACTTATGCAGAAGATCCAGAGCGTATTAAGAAGGAGAGCGTACAACGATGAAATGCTGAAACCATGTTGCAGTATTAGTCGAATTAAGAAACTGCCCGTTTTATTTTGACGATTCATTGTATTATTGATCAGCTGTCCTACCTTGCTAATATAAAACAAACCGCTTGTCCCTACGATGCCCCTACGCTGAGATAATGAGTGGTGAAAATCTGGTATTTTTGCCGAAAACCGACTCGAGATCACTGTTTGCTGCGACCCTCTCTTGCTTTGTGGCCAGTGTGTTGCTTCCGGTTGCCGCTGTATAGCGCCATGGTAGCGCTCACTCATTACGTCAGTACTACAGAGTTTACTACATCCAGCGTGAGGTGGGCACAGGTGGGGGTCCAAACTCCACGACAGATGGCGCTCTCGCTCATGGGCTCAATCTACCACTGCCACAAGCAGATTTTGGTTACAATTTGTAACGCTTTTTTACTACAAGTTTTACAGCAGGCACGTTACTCGTATCCTATGTAATAAGATTTGAACTAATAAAAGTTGCAAAGATATTAAAAATCCGACCAATATTTCATGAAAAATGTGATAAAATCGTGATACGAAATAGTACGCGGATTGTGCGCCCATTTACCTCTTTCAAATCATACGCTGTTTACGAACCACCATTCGCTGGATTTCCCCCGAGCTCCGCCCACTTTAAAAATAGTGCTAGCATTGTGGCAGTGGTATTCTGAGTGTGCGAAGGGGGGTAATGCATGCAGTTTGGTGGGGGTCATTACTATGGCAATCAATAACAGACGTCATTCATTCCATTTGTCAATCATTGACGGAAACACGCGTGGTTTCCCGAAGCTATCCCAAAGCGAGAGAGGGTCGCAGCAAACAGTGATCTCGAGTCAGTTTTCGGCAAAAATACCAGATTTTCAACACTCATTATCTCAGCGTAGGGGCATCGTAGGGACAACCGGTTTGTTTTATATTAGCAAGGTAGGACAGCTGATCAATAATAACACAAAGAATCATCAAAATAGAATGGGCAAAGATTCTTAATTTAACTAATACTGCAGCATGGCTTCAGCATTTCACCGTTGTACGTTCTCCTTCTTTATACGCTCTTGAGAAGATGTATAGATACCGAATGCAGAAATGATCATAAAAAATGTGTTGCATATTCACAGAGTGGTACATGCCAGGAGAGTGCCGACATTCAATATAGTGAAGGTAGTGGTAAGTAGATCTTGTTAGTATGTAGCTATTTTTAGCTCATCTGACATAGTCAGATGCAGCTTGTAGAATCGCATGATCGTCCGTCCGTCCGTCCGAGCGTCCGTCCGTCCGAGCGTCCGTCCGAGCGTCCGTCCGTCCGTCAACAGTTGGGCACAAATCTTAACCGCTCGACGTACGGTCACGATATTCGGGACGTGGGGGGGTAATCCGAAAACGAGTTGGGATGTCAAAGGTCAAAGGTCAAGAGGTGTAAAAGAAGGGGGAACATTCACTCCTTAACTTAAGTATAGGGAGGAAAATGCAGAATTGCGGCGCACAAATCTAAAACGGCTCGACCTAGGCTCTGTGATAGTTGGTGTATAGCAATCATGGTAGGAAAAGCCATCACTGTGCCGAAATTGGAGGTCACAGGTCAAAGGTCAATGGCACAGGGCAGATTTTAGACTTTTCTGAGGACATGGTCTGACGGAGGCGATTGAAAAACTTTTTTGTTTCAGCGGTGACCTAGCATTTTTATGGCATTATTGAAAGGACATGAAATCTACTTTCTGCTGACATGTGAAGAGTAAAGTGTCAGATAACCTTTTGACCCTCAAGAGGAGGGTTAATACATGGATTTGTTGACTGTCTGTTAGAAAGAATTTGACTGCTGAGGGTTTGCTAGTAGAATCTATACATGTCTGGATGTATGAGGCTACAATGTCACAGTGAAATTTCAAAAAGCTAAATTTGGTTAAAGAAGGTTTAATGCTCGCTTAAATCGTATAATTTCTATGGCATTCTGTACTGTCAGTATGTTACATGTAACCTATGCCACTGCCAGTGCTACTGCCAGTGGCATGTGTTGATGGTACTGTGTAGTTTTTTGCCTGCGTTAATTGGTTACAGGTGGCAGCTCTCTATTGCAGCCTGCAGGCTTGCGTAGGTAAATGGATGAGTGCTTACCTATTCTATCTTGCAAATAGTTGTTGCTACTACGTATGATGGGAGCTTCCATCTTTAATCTGAAGACACTTAAACGTACGCGCCATCTCGTGGCAACTTTCATAACGATCCCAAGGAACATTCCTTTGAGAAGGTTCCTGATACCATCCCTGTGCATTCCACTGTTTCGGCGTGTAATGTGAACACATTTGGGACTAACAGGGTTTACTAGAATCCCACCACTCCACCACAAGAGTCACCGCAGTAGACGTTAGATGAGCGCTGTTGGCTCCCGCGGCACTTGTTTGTGTAAGTTTTCGCTGAGGGGGAACTAATTTATTATAATACAATTTTATATACATATATATTTATGACATGCGTGTGTGCATGCATATATATATATATATATATAATATATATATATATATATGCATTTATGCATGCACACACGTATGTATGCACACACGGAGAAGAGCCAGAGACAGAGACAGAGGCAGAGAGACAAGAGCAGAGACAGAAGACAGAGAGAGAGAGAGAGAGAGAGAGAGAGAGAGACAGAGAACGAGAGGCGACAGACAGAGACAGAGACAGAGACAGAGACAGAGAACAAGAGAGAGAGAGAGAGAGAGAGGAGAGAGAGAGAACGAGAGAGAGAGAGAGAGAGAGAGAGAGAGAGAGACGAGAGAGACAGAGACAGAGACAGAGACAGAGACAGAGACAGAGACAGAGAGAGAGAGAGAGACAGAGAGACGAGAGAGAGAGAGTACAGAGACAGAGACAGAGACAGAGACAGAGACAGAGACAGAGACAGAGAGAGAGAGACAGAGACAGAGACAGAGACAGAGACAGACAGAGAGAGAGAGACTGATGCAGATCCAGATCCTGATCCACGTATGTTTGTTGCATTAGAAGAAAACTATCATTATTGTCTTCACCAAGATCGAAGGCGATTTCATTGTTGCTCGGGCAATATTGGTAATGTCAACACTATTGTTTCTACAGCATGCACAGAGCAGAAGAGAGTGCCCTTGCGACATGCAACCCCCGCTCCTAGCATGCTGAACGTGAGTAATTACCGAACCAATGCTAGAGATTTCCACTGGTTGAATACCTCTTGGATCAGCCCCAACAGCAGTAAGCATGTTTGACGTGGAATCTAGATAACTACATTTAGCAATCATTGTTGTTGAAAACGTCGGCTATAATTAACAATAAGTCAAGTTTGTATGTTGAAAATGCATGCTCGGTAACCCCTGTTTGCAGCCATGCCATATACGTATAGCTTACACGCACTTGGTCATGTTATATCAACGAACTAGCTGTATAGTTTTAGTACTGTAGCGTTTCTTAGGATGAATCACATGACCTGGCTCACACGGTCCGATGAACTAGGGCCCGTTGTCAGAAACAAAATTAGTCTTAACATTAGTCTTAACATTAACTTTTTCTCTTAGACTGTTGTCTGAAATGCTGCGAAGTTACCTGAATAAAAAATCTTAGCAGATTTCCTCGTAACAATACAAAACAGCGCTGTCGACGGTCTACGAGAAAATGTTAGTGTTAAGACTAATGTTAATTAGACTAATTTTGTTTCTGACAACGGGCTGTTAATCCTGGTCATTAGATCCTAATTAATTTAATCCTGGTCACTTATTGTCGATTTATTAGCATCATTTACTGTCTATTAATAGCAGATGTGTAGCATGATATACAATCTGCCAGTGGTAATGCCTTTACATTGCACATGGGTAATTAAGGGCCTGTTTAGCAGGATGACTGTTACTTGGATTTGACCTTGTTTGCCCATATGCAATGTTTAGGTGGGGACGTTTGTCATGGGTAGGGTAGGGTGTATGATGCTACAATGGCATAGCAAATACTTGTGAAGTTTAAATAGCAGTTATTACTATCCTTATGTAGAGTGTCTGGTCCAAAAAAATCTGGGCGATTTGATATATTGATCATGACATTAAATGTTTGGTATGGGCTATGTAGGCCTATGATTCACAAGTCTTTGTTCACATCGAACGGAATAGCAAAATAGGACGTATAATGCAGCATTTTAACCATAAAAAGTGAACACAATCATTACATTTTGTGAAAAAGTGGATACAATTTTTTGGCTTTTATTATTTACGGTGGTGTAATCACTTAATGTCTTCACAATATAACCATGTTTTAGCAAAGGTACAGGGTTTCATGGTGGAAGTGTGGATCAACAATTCTCACGTAACCTGCACGAAATCCAGTGTTGATCGCACGGTAGCATCATTCCAAGAGGTGAACGATTCAACATCTTTAAATTCTATGCATTCCTGTTTTTAATAACATCATAATAAGATTCAGTGAATGTGAAATCTCTTACTTGGGGGATTGCCCAATTTCCAATTGCTCTACTGCCGGGCAATTGGTCTAACACTCAGCTATAACTTCTACCAGACAGACCTATTTTTGGTCTGTCTGTGTTCCGGTGTGGTGTTGTCTACGTTACAGTTTAAAGTCACGTTCTTTTGAACATTAAGTTGAATAAAAAGCTATAAAATATTAATGAAATTCGTGTAAACTGTTCAAAATAATAATACAGCACTCGGTCATGAACACTGAGTGCAAGGTTGTAGACTTAGCGTAAACTAGTGTCAGACAATGGGCCTGGCTTGTAATTAAAATCCAACATACCGTCTCATAGTCATTGTGCAATACTGTTATCATATGATGGGTTACAGTAATGATTTCTCCTCGTAATTGCAGAGTTATCACTTTGACTGCATGCTTAGCGAACAAAAGAACGTCACACTAATTCAGGTGTGCAGCTTGCCGAAGGCTTCATTCAGCTGCAGTAGATCGAAACCATACATTCACAGGGATGGTAAGTATACCTAAATGACATCATTTACAACCATATGCACCCACAAGGAATCTCTCACTAACCTGCACATCACATAGTATATAGCAGCAATTAGTTTTGATCATGATAGTAAGGAGAACTGGATCATCACAGTACTGATATTCAAAATTGCTATGAAAAGCAGAATGGTGTTGCTATGCAGTGTAGCCAAGGGAATTGCATGTGATAATCACACTGATTAAAGTGTGTATTGCGAGATTTTTGCTCAGAAAAACTAAATATAGCTGAACATAGTCTCACCTGACAGCGGAAATATCACTGATTACACCAACATTAAAAATACTAATATTTTATGCAGTTATAGCATAGAAAATTGGATATGAACACATCGTAACAGCAATGCATTTTATCGTGCCGCGACAATGCCTAATGGCCGAATTGGTAAACTTGTATTTGTGTCGGTGATGAATTGAAAACAAGTGCGTCCCTGTACTGGGGGTATTGCAGATAAGCGGTGGCGCCACAAGCTAATCCATACTTTTTGTTAGTTCAAGATGACAGAAAACGAATGTTTGCAAAAACGATTAGTTCGAAACTGGCAGTTTTCGGTGAATACGAAGGTTCTAAGACAATGTTACTCTAGACAATTGCTGTTACTCAAGCAATAACGGTAGGTATCATGAAAGTGGGGAAAACACTGGAAAATTCTCGCAATACACACTTTAAACGACTATGATTTGTCTACTGTGACATGTGTGACAAAAATGTTTTTGTCATGCAAACAAAGCCAACCTGTGCTACTTCAGAGTTATAGCTTTTGTGTCCCAGAATAGCTGTTGCCATGGGGTTAGCTGTTACAATATATGGATTAGATGTGTATATGTTTGAGCTGAGATCTCCCCAGGAATTTCAGAAGGCATGTCGTATGCAGACAGGTGGGAGAGGGCCCCCGAAGCGAGTTGTACCAGGTGGAATCAATTCCATATGTTTTAGGTGTCATAAGCAGCCCAAATAGGCAAATACACAGATAAACTCTATCAGTTCGAAATTTATAGGACAAGCTGTGAACCACAACATAACTGTGTTGGGATTGTCAAAAGTAAACACAGCTGGAAATTTAGGTTTGCTGATTAGGCAACTAAGGCATCTCAGTGGATTTATAGTATGTCACAAATTATCTTCTGTTTTGAAGCCATGTCCACCTGCCACAGTGGTGTCACTATATGCAGTCATTGGAGATAAAGCTATAGATGTGGATGCAAGAAATGGCCAGAAGGCAGAGTTGGATACTCGCCAGCCAATTGCTCAAACGTCACCACCTCTTATTGTTATCATTGTGTAGGATTAATCGACAACACACCGCCGAGGTATTGGGTCACGCCGGTGACAGCTGAGGTCATGTGGTCTGAACACAAGGTGAACGCGAGCTTCACACAGGCGTCCCACTACGTCAACGATGCATTCCCTGGCTACACTGTGACGTTAGTCGCGCAGCAGGGAGAACAACAACGAATACGTAGACTGGTTGATGCAGTGAGTTTCCTCCACGCCAACATTCTCTTCATCTATTCGCAGCTATACAGTATAGCAATGTTCCATGCTGTTTGCTCCATCACTGAGCAGCTTTCATTTGTCAACAAGGCGAGTTTGAAGGAGAGGGTAGAGGGCAGAGAATCTGCTTGAAATACATGTGAGAATGTTTTGTGAGTTTTGTAGGTTATCAGAGATGTTATGCAGGCGCCGTGGTGCTAAAAACTGCTCTATTGTTATTTAGATTCCAAATCAAGCTCAACTATTTACAGTCTTTGAAGAGGTGGCGGAAGGAGATTACACTGTAGAGGTGACGTTAATAAGCTCAGTACACCGTTAGTTGTCTTATTTCTCTTGTTTAGTACAAACTGGTTGACACGTGAAAAATTATGCTAGCTGTAATTGCTTTGTGAACATAAAATGTCTTTCTTAATGTTTATGGTTAATCGTGTCTGCGTCGTAGTGAATGGCAAGAAACATATTACCAACTCACACACCCATACCTGAAATACTGGTTGGGTTAGAGTTACTGCAAAACAGAAATCCTTTTAGGACCAGATTGCTGTAGTTATGACAGTATTACTAATTTTGAAGTGTTTTTATAAAGGTCTTGATGTATCATCAAGCATGACAATCTACCTTCATCAAAAAAGGTCAAGAGATTGAGGATCGCTGTGCCGCTAAGGTTAGAATAGGTGTCAAGCGAGTGTATTTGTTTGCTGTAGGTGCTGCCTTGTATCACTGCCTGTACGACTGAATGCAAATGTCGTAATTTGGACAACGGGTGCGTCAGATGCAGCACGAGTCGGTCGACTCTGTTCACAGTCACTTATGGTACGCACCGTCTTGAGCAGGTTTGAGATATTCAATGTATTACATGTGTTGTATTATCATTAGATGAAATAAAGGGCAACTTAATGAGAGCAAAGTGATTAACTCCATAGCAGCTGTCCATGCATCGCTCCATCCATCCATCCATCCATCCATTCATTCATTCATCAATCCATCCATCCATCTATCCATTCATCCTTTCACATCCATCCACCTATCCATCCGTCCTTCCATCTGTCTATCTCTCCATCCATCTGTCTATCCGTTCATCCATCCATCCATCCATGCATCCATCCATGCATCCATTATCAATCCATCTATCAATCCGTCCTTCCATCCATGCATCCATTATCAATCCGTCCTTCCATCTGTCTATCTGTTCATCCATGCATTGATGCATTAATCCATCCATCCATCCATCCATCCATGCATCCGTTATCAATGTCGATCTCTCCATTCAACCATCTATCCATCTATTCGCCCATCCATTCATTGATGCATCCATTTATCCATCCATCCATCCATTCATTAAATAATCCACCCGCCCATCCATCCATCCATCAAATTTAATACATCCATCCATCCATTCATCCATCCGTCCATCCATCCAACAATCCATCCATCCATAAATCCATCCTTCAATCGATCCATCAATCCGTCTGTCTGTCCATTTATCTATCCATCTGTTCATTCATCCATTAATCCACCCACCTACTAATAGTTCATTAGTTCTCATTGTTCGCTTACCTTAGAATAATTGCAAATAATTGATTGATTGACAGCCTGCTCGGAGCAGTCGGCATGGCAACCGAGCATGCTCCTAGCCACTGTCCTGCCTGGCAATGGCGTCGAGGTCAGCTTCTCTAACGCACCACTAGAATTAGGAGTCGCAAAATACGAAATATTACTGCAAAGCAACGAATACTCCCAGAGTAAAACTGTGGTTAGTACCATATTCAGTTCATGATTGTCATTAAGTAGGTGCATGTGTGTACTTATACAGTCGTTTGCAATTAAGTATCTGTGCAGCCGTGTGGGTTCATTCGCGTGTTAACCTATGTGGATCTGCATGTGGATATGTGGGTAGTATCTAGTGGTATGCATGCATGTGTTTCACAATAGCTGTACTGTAATTGTTGATGGTCTCGTATTGTAGGATGGCACAGGGCCGTATTACATCTTCACAGCAATGCCAGATGGTGTGTACAACATATCAGTGAGTGTCTATGTTCATTTAGGCTTTTAGCTGAAATATAACGAATTATGATATAGATGCTTTTGTGTTTATATGTATTCTATATGTCTAAGTTTTTAGTTTTGATTTTCATTCTAACTAGAGTCAATGACCGCCAGGTGGCTGTAAATATAAGATAAAACGTTCAGGTGCATTGCTTATAAGATCAGTGAGAAGGTAGGTGTGAAGCAGTTGTGTAATGTGTATAGCTAGTTATTGTTCTGAGAGATTTGTTCACATATGTGCCAATCACAATTCGTAGCCCTTTTCTGCTGTCATTTTTAATGGTATACAAAGAACGATTTAAGCGAATGAAGCCTCCCCTTACTGTATATTGTGCATGCGTTTACCTTACTCATCTATTAATTATATGAGTATATCTGTTTTCCAATTAGTTTTGCATATACATCACACAGAGCATCGTGCCATATCTTACTCCCTTTCGACCTATCGTAGATTCATTCACCTGATGCTGTTGTTGTATGTGTCACCGTGTAGGTAAAAATCATCGATGAATCTGACGATCGGTGCCTGTGCAGGAAACCTTACACAGGCGTCTGTGGCAGGGAGTGTGCATGTAGTGCTTATGTGAGCCCAACACCCATCAACGTAACCTGTGAGTGTCATCGTCACCTCTGTAGATGATGCGAGTCAGGAAAACAGCTTTGTGCCTGTATATTCCTAGAGGGTGATTAGCGCTGAACCTAACACACTAAAGGTGGGGGGTCAATCGCTTCATTTTGCACTTCGAAAATCCAGAAATCATGAAATAGCCAGCAAGTACACGCACTGGAACGATGGCAGGCATGCATGATGCATCCAAGAATGGTGGACAGGTTTGTCTAAGTTTAGTTGTTGTCAGATCAGAGTTTAGCTGGCTTCCTGCAGGCACTGTTCTGTAGCCAGTGGTTAACATCATGTGATTGAGAAGTGCAAATATGGAATACCCCTCGCTTAAAGGAATAATAGGTCCATTGATTATGCAATGTTGACGAATGCTAGAGTAACTGGCACCTTGTGTAGTTAATAAGTACATTACCTTATAGCCAAATGCGTATTAGTTTGTCCAATATCACTGCTGGTTACGTTACAAACAAGACTTGAAATCGGTTGTTTATATGTATCAACGTATCATTTACGTGCTGTAAATGTCATCCAGGAGTCAAGCGATGACGTAAACATTTGTGCGGCCCGTGTGTTTTGGACGCCAGATGAAACGGAGGTGTCAGCGGTGTAACCACGGCCACGGACTAACCATGGAAATAGAGTAAAACACACGTACTAATCACGGACGCACGTGGAAAGCCCTGACAAAAAGTTCCTTATCACGAGCGTCCATGTTTACGAAATCACTGATGATAGCATTGCGTACGGCCGAGCATGCGTGCGAAAATGTCCGGTGCACTATAAATCTATCACACCCGCTTCGCCGGCAGCGGTTTGAAACTGTAAACAACAGATTTTTGGACTGCGGATTTCAATTAGACATTTCTTAGTAACCAGCACTGATATTGGACAAACTAATACGCGTTTGGCTATAAGGTAATGTACTTATTAACTACACAAGGTGCCAGTTACTCTAGCATTCGTCAACATTGCATAATCAAAGGACCTATTATACCTTTAAGCTTTCGCTTCATCTGCATTAAAAGTCGTCGATAGATAGATTATTCCTTCAATAACCCTACAGATGAGATATATTCTGCTATATACTGTGCACAACTCTCTGATGTGCATGATAATAACACTACTAATGATTCAATAACCATCATGTGCCTGTGCATATTAATAGCATGTAAATGAGCTTGATTCTGTCTACTGCCTTCTAAATGAATTTCATTTTTATAATCAACGTATTAACATGCTTCAGCCTATTACCTTCTTATCTTACTTTCTGTCTTCATGTTTGACCTTTACTTTAGGGTCAAATAGGTTTATTTAAACCTGAAAGTATTGCATCCTAGCTGGAACAGACCCATTTAAGTGAGTGGTAATTAAAAATTGGGTTAAGTAACCAAGAAAGTAAACTTTGTGTTAACATATTTATAGTATCTTGTAGCTAGATGTTGTTACTCTTGGAAACTTTATAATTAAAGTTATTGTTATTGTTGTTGTGATTTGTGTTGTTGTCGTCGATGTTACGGGTGGCAGTGGTGCCGACAATGACGGGGTGGTGGTGATATCGTATCTCTAACTGTTGTTAATGTTGTCATGTTTGTGCTTTAAGTTGTTTCAGCTGTTTTCCTAACCATAGTTGTTGTCTTCGTTCATAGTGCTGATGTGTAATGCTGTTTCTTACAGCCAATGCCTCGCCAACGACTGAACTCCTGAGTGTGGAGAAACTAGGAGCAGAAAGTGTCGCACAATATGTGATACCTATCATTGTTGTCCTGATATTGATGGCTGTTGTCATCATTATTTGGAGGCTCAATAGTAAACATGGTAAGTGTGGATTTGGTGTAAGATAGGATGCTTGCAGTGCACGCAGAAAGCACCCGTGTCTTTGCATTCACACCCTGTATATAGGAGAGCTGGTATTGTTTACTGAAGTTATGAAAATCATGCGAGTGGTCAAGGTATTACGGGCAGGTGTTGCATCATGGTAATCTCTGAGAATATAGTGCTTTCCAGTAACGTGTCCCTGTGGTCCAGCAAGTAGTACCACATACTAAAACGGTTCTCTATAACAGGTCTCTCCTGTTGTTTCGTGAGATATTGTCAGAATCGGCAGTGGCCTGATGGCCAACTTAAGATGGCCATTTTTGCACATACGATGCTACATAGGTGGTGCTATATGTTTACTTTTCAGCTTGCACAAGCATGCATCAGCTGCTTGGATGTTTTCACACAACCTGTCACGAAGGAAAGCCTAAAACTGGTATGGTGTAATTTTACTTCCTTATTGAACATTGATACACAAATGTTATTTGCGTGCGTCCAGTTTCTTACAACGAGCAAGTAATTGTTTACCAATGTTTGTCTGTGCATTAACAGTAATTATTTGTTCGTTTGTTGGCCTCGACTGTGAACCCTTGATGTTTAATTACTGATATATTTATTTAGGGATATACCATTTGTAATTTTCGAAAAAGTAGAAAACCAAGTATTTGCTTACAGGCAACTTGGAATGTTTCCTGCATGGATTCTGGCATGGAGAACAGATGAAGTCTTTATAGGTGGTGAACACCAGTAGAGGGCGTCTGTAGGCGGCATGCCTGAATAAGCATCGAACAGAAATTAATTAAAAATACTCTCACTGTTACTGTTACACAACATACACTTTATTCATGTTAAATAACTACAGACTCATGCTCTATGCTCTGCTCGAAATTTTTGCCAGCTCTATGATGCGAATTTATGCAAAGTAGTCTGAATACATTTCAAACACAAAAATGACCAACCGGTCGCTGTGGCTACGCCACTTGACGGAATGTCACAAATACACGACAAGACCAATTTTACTTCAAATACTTTCTAGACGTCCACGAGGCATCTAACTTGCGTGCATAATGCAAGTTATTGCACTCAAGTGCCGAATTTCGGCGAAAAAAAAAGAAGCCAAAAAATGCATTTTCTAGAGACGAAATAGTGCAACGGTGAACAATTTGCAGAGGCATACTGTTGTATGCCCACCTATAGTACGGGTGCACAAATTTGTACCATAATTTACCAAAGCTGTTTTCCTATTTCAGGAACAGTTCCTCTCAAGAATGTTCATGTGCTGCCCCCTGCATGTGATGATGAGAACCTGCTCAGGTTGGTCAACAGGTTTTCTCAAGTACTTGTGAGTCACATGAGATGTGAGGTAACTAACATATTGAATTGAACTTGAATTTTGTAGTGTAGTCAATGCATTATGTTTTACTAACTGCAATCTTTTATTTATGTACTATCATATTGTATGTGTACCACTTTACAGTAATATTAAACGTCTGGTTCTTTGGGGCCATGTGATCAGCAGAATCTATAAATTTTATTTAAAAAAATGATGTTAATAAACTGGCTAAAATGCAACATGTTCTGTGTGTGCATGTGTGTGTGTTATCTTGCTCAATAGCAGCATCGTTTGCATGTGACCACGCTTGAGCTGTATGCACGAGACACCGTCGTGCGTGCGTGCGTGTGTGCGTGTGTTATCTTGCTCAGTAACAGCATCGTTTGCAGGTGAGCACGCTTGAGCTGTATGCACGAGACACCGTCGTGCGTGCGTGCGTGTGTGTGTGTGTTATCTTGCTCAGTAACAGCATCGTTTGCATGTGACCACGCTTGAGCTGTATGCACGAGACACCGTCGTGCGTGCGTGCGTGCGTGTGTGTGTGTTATCTTGCTCAGTAGCAACATCGTTTGCAGGTGAGCACGCTTGAGCTGTATGCACGCGACACCGTCCTGAGGCTCGCTAGCATGCAGCAGCATGACTTTGTCAGTGAGGCCACCGCCGCGCTCGCGACCTCTGACGTCATCGTCGTCGTGCCGAGCTGCGACGCCGCGCCACACACAGCGCTATCTAGCGACGCCGCGCAGCACACAGCGCCATCTAGCGACGTCGCGCAGCACACAGCGCCATCTAGCGACGCCGCACAGCACACAGCGCCCTTGAGCGACGTCGCCCCCTGCCTGCGCGACATGAAGGCGCAGGTGACAGGCGCCACCTTGCGGCGTGTCTATGAGAGCAACGACCTCGTCCATAAGGTCGTCTGCGTGCTGTTCCCTGAGCGCGTGGGTGGCTGCCACCAGGTGGCACCACCCGGGATGCCGACGTTCAGTATTGGCAGGGAGCTTGATCAGCTGTTTGTGCACCTGCATCCTGAGTTAGATGGAAGGGTCAGCAAGCATGCACGGCAGCGGCTCTGCCAGGCAGCGAACATTATAGAGGGAGCTAGCATCATTGAAAGTTCCAGTGTTGTAGGTGGCAGCAGTGGCGTAGAAGGAGTTGGTGTGTTTTCACGTATGACACCTAGTAGCCTTGCACAAGATCTATAATATTCTAATGCATATATAGAGATCATAAATCATATATAATAGAGATTATACTGTAAATCCCTTTTTAGCTCGCCTTGACATCGTCAAGATGAGCTATTGCCATGGGGTGTCGTCCGTCGTCCGTCGTACGTCCGATACGGCCAACATTTGGCCCACATGTTTCAAATTGCATATAGTTGTTACTCCTATGGGAGAGATTTGAAATTCCTATTTTGGAGCACGCCAGTCGACCTACTTTCGAGCCACGCCCACTTTTTGGCAAAAATTAAAATGGCCATTAAATTAAATTAAATTGGATTTTGTTAAATTTTGGTATGTGAATGTGTAAGGCTAGCCCCAAAACAGTTGTTACTCCTATGGGAGAGATGACAACGACCTATTACGTTTATTTCGTCTAACTGGTCAACAACTCTACAATCATACCTATATACGTGTAATATTGTGTTTTAAATTCTTTGTTAATACAGTAATTTGACTGGAATATTTTATTGTTTTTATTTGCGCGACATTCGAAAACCCAAATGGCGATCATTTAGGCGTAGCGCCATCTCTCGTCAAGATTTCAGACTCAGATCGGAAACATTTATTTTCACATCAAAACTTATGCATGTATCATTGTCAAGAGTATATAATGGGAGATATGCTATATAATAGGAGTTCTCCCATATATACTCTTGCTTTATACATCCCTCCTCCCTCTTCTATCACACCCAAGGTGAGCTACAGTGTCATTGACACTCATTTTTCGTGGGGTACCAATTTTCGTGGATTTCGTGGGTCTATCAATCCACGAACTTACGTTCCCAACGAAATATGATGTACAGATGTCAAATGCCGGTTCTCCGATTTCAATCCACGAACATGTGTTTCTTTATCGAAACCACGAAAATTGGGATCCACGGAAATAAGTGACTTTACAGTATGTCATAACGTAATAGTGCATGAATTCGTTCTTAGACTACAAATGTTTTAGTTGTCCCAAATGTAGTAATAGTAGCAGATTTTGTAGCCGTACGGTAGTCATACTAGCAGATTCAAACCAGTGGCATCATTAGACTAGGAGGATGAAACCCTTTGTGGAACAGTTGAAAATGAACTCGAAATCCAATGAAAGTGTCAATGACACTGTAGCTCACAACAAATAACGTTTTTATAATATTCAGATTTAGGCACTGCCTAAAAGCGGAGCTCCCGATGTGTAACGTGTAAGATTCAGAGGATACGCTTATTCCACGTAGCTGCTATGTACCACGTGACAATGGTGTTTCCCTGCCCATAACACAACTTTTGTCAAAGGTTAATTGGTTGCATGGAAGTGTTTACTTCGTATGAGATTTTCTAGGCGGTAGCACACGGTTGCCATCTGTATATCGCAATAATAATTTATAAACCAAAATGAATCACAATTTATGACAGTAGATGGCGCTATACCCCCTTTGTAGCAATGGCGTTCAAAATAAATAGGTTATGCTGCGTTCCGACATGTTTTGTAAAACTTTACTCTAATATAGACGTTTTATCGGCAGGGTGGAGAGGAAATACCAATTTTTCATTAAAGATATTGTCAATGAAATCTTGTAAAACGAACCAGACGAGTGTGACAACTGTTTGTTATCTGCGTTTTTTGCATAAATTGCATAAACCTATCTAATTTGCATAATTTTTTTTTTTAATATCAAAACCCCTAGCTTTTATTCATTCACATACCAAAAATGAGCAAAAACCGTTGAACCTGAACTGATTAATGGCAATTCCCATTTTTGCCAAAAAATTGCCGTGGCTCGAAAGTACGTCGACTGGCGTGCTCCAAAATAGGACGTTCCATATGGGAGCATAGCAGTAACAACTATACCCAATTTCACCCACCCACATGTGGGTAAAACAGTTCCTGAGTTATTGTTGACCGAAGCGAAATGTTGACGGACGGACGGACGGACGTACGACGGACGACGACCCATGGTCAAGGTGAGCTAAAAATTAACAATCGGTCGAAATTCGCAAGTTGGCAACCCACAGCTGTCCACCCTAGCGTGTTGTTGGCAACACCGAGCATCCGGTGATAACGTGGCGAACGATCCCTGTAGTGTGACAACACCGAGCATCCGGTGATAACGTGGCGAATGATCCCTGTAGTGTGACAACACATCAATGAATCTAATCGACAGCCCTCATGTGATGAGTCCATGCTCAGCACATCTCAACCCCAGTGCACCGACTTTGAACGAATCAACTTTGAAGAAGTACAGTTACTAACAGCAATGCTTCTTGCCACGCCGGATCTGTCATGATAGATTATCGCGTATAGCACGTGTGCGTGCGTGTGTGCGTGCATGTGTATGTGCGTGCGAGTGCGTGGTGTATGTGTGTGCATGTGTATGTGCGTGTGCGCGTGCTCCTCTGTGGTGTGCGTGTGTGAGATAGATCTATTCTTAATTCTATATATATAATAATATGAATCTATTATTATTCACTCTTTCACGATAATTAATTATCAAGGTGATTATCTTACGAAGTAACATGTTCTCATGCTAATAAAGTTTATCTCAGTTAGATACAAATTAACCCTTTCCGACTACCACAACGGGAAATCCGTCCGTATTTTTTTCCCTTCAGACTACAAAACGGGATTATCCCCTGTCGTGATTTTCGATTTGAATTTCCCGCCAACAAATGCGCATCTAAATTTCGTGAACGTAATACGATGTAGCTGGAACCAGACTAAACCAGTTCCGGTAACCATTTGTTGGTATAGGTTATTTGTATTTTCGGAAAGTTTTAACTTTTACAGTTTTTTACAATGTTTATGCGAGTTTTATCGACAGAATAACAATAATGGCGGCGTATTGTGGGCAGGAGTCCAGAAAGCACGCGAGAATTCGGATTTTGAGAGTGATTAATCGGACGATTTGCCACTTTTCTCGATATTGTTTGGAAATTGATGAGACAACATTCCACTTGCTCGACATCCTTGTCGTAGAAATAGTGATAACGAGACTGATCATGGACGGTAATGGCCAAATTGTAAGTGATGAGAGCAACGATGACGAAGCTTTTGATTCTATTTAGTAGTAGTGATGGCCGAAAGTTCGGCTGATTCACGAACAGTGATCATGGTCAAATTGCCGACCCAAAGAATTTCCCTGGTCTTATAGCTACCTATGTAAGAAGAGGGGCCCAATTTGGAGACTGGAACTTCTGATCAAGCCACAGTAGCGACAAAGACCTTCAGCTGTTGTCTCCGTTCAGCTTTTTTTGCCAATTTTTTCACTGACTACATCCTACAGGATATGTGTGAACTCAGACTAATTTGTAGCTGATCAGTGAAAGGACCGGCAACAACAAGTGGGTTTGGGATAAAATTACTTTCCTGAATGAAAAGCTGGGACCTTTGGTCTTTTGTAGCAATGGGCATTGTGAGAAAAAAAGGCAGAACCGCTGAGAGTACTGGACAAACACCTGGTGCTTCAAAACCCCTGGTTTGCCATAGCGAGTCGAGCACGGAGCGCTCTTCTTACGATCTTCGCTAAGCATTACATTTGTTAGATAACCGAGACCCTACATATCGACAAAAATTATAAATTATGGAAAATTCAGCCAGTCAATTACGTACCTCACCCAGTCCGCTTTCAACGTTGTCTACCGTCCCAGATGTCAAATTGCTATTTGATGAGACATGCATAAATATCAAGGGGACGCCGTTGAAAATAAAGCCAGTGTTACATTCAAAACCAACAACGAAATGGGGCATAAAGCTCTTTACTCTTGCGAGTCGAAAAACGGATACGGCTCAATGTATCCCGTTTATCGCTGGCAAGAGAGCCTGATACCGACGTGTTGAAAAAGAACACAAACGGTAATGCGATGTCCTCGAAACCATACCTACGTCCTGCGGACATCATTTGTTCATGGACAATTATCTACACCAGCGTTGAACTGATGAAACGTCTTGTAGCAGGAGGGCTACGCTGTCATTGTAGGGCAACAGTTGAGAAGTAACAGAAAAGTGACTGCCAGCTGAAAAAATGAGAAGACGGCACCTGCCTGTAAAAAAACTGAAGCCGCAGGAGAAAGGCATACGCTGATGCAGGTCGCATAGGCGTGCTTGTTGACATGGAAAGATAGTTGTGTGGTGAATCTGCCTCACAACATCTTCCAGGCCGAAGTATTAGGCGACACAGAAGTGGCAGGACGCGAGAAAACTAAAGATGGAGTGAGGAATTTGCCATCAAGAAGCCTGTGGCTATAAACACATACAACACACTACATGGGCGGTAGTTGTATCTGTGCAGACCAGCCCACCTGATGTGGCTTCTCGACTATATCGGCCGACACAGATGAGTCTCCTTACATCGGTACCTGGCAAAATCTTTTACCATGTTTTGCGGTTGTTCAGTGTGTTCAGGCTTCATCATATACAAGGAACTGACTGCGAAATAAATAGGACCAAGAAAAATTTCACAACATGCAGGTCATCGATGGTTCTTGTTGCACTGGACGAAGCTCATAAAAATAGACAGGGTCGACCTTTCCTCTGTCCCACAAAGGAGACATTCGATTTCACATAAGAGGAACTACACCATGCACCGCCAAACTAGAAACTGCCTTTCAATGTGTAAAGTGCATACAAACAGAGTGACAACATTATTTCAGTTGCAAGTGTTTGAAAACAAGAATGTGCCCATTATCTGGCTTTGCGCGAAATATCATTACGAGAAGGATTATGAGTTCGATTGATCCCACCAAACAAGCGAGCTGCTGTAGCCTAGGAAAAAGCAGCATAAATTGTAAATAATGACACTATGTATGTATGTATGTATGTAACTTTTACTAATTGTTGTTTTTCTAACAGTATTCATTCGTTTTACAGTTACTAATGTCAAAGACAATTTTTTTGAAATTTTTCGTGAGAAGATTACTAACTCTTGTTTTGTATATATAAAGCCCTATAATCCTATTGTTGTAAATAGTTTTATTTTTCAAATAGCTCTTGAAATAGTAAATGATGCATATGACTTTCTAAAAAAATGAAAAATAATCACATAACACCTGTTTTAAATTTTTTTTTTAAATTTTTAAATGAAAAATAATTTTTCAATTTTTTCAAAAAAAGCTTCAGCTTTCACGGTAGGGGGGGGGTAGTTGATCTCGAAAAATTCTTTTTAATTAATCTATTTGAATGTAAAAATACCTCAGCTTTCCAAATATGTATGGTTTGATAGTCTAAAACTACTACAAAGTTTACTAATTAGCTCATAATGACTTGCTACCAATCTTTTTGTTTGCATCATTAATTAATTGGACTCAGCAGGCCTTTTTTCCCATACGGAATTGTAGTCTGAAAGGGTTAAGTTGGAATAAAATATAAAAAACTAAAGTCACTTAATTTGGATCTAACTGAGATAAACTTTATTAGCATGTGAACTATAGAGATCCGATGAAGTTATTCAATCATCTATTGGAGAAGTAACTTGTTATTGAACAGCTATTAGGCATGTATATCAGAATCGATCAGCTATAGGGAAAGAACGCCACCGGGAAGTAGCTGAACTCATAATGAATGATCTGAAATCGACATTTTGTACATCAACTTACAAGAAAGTATGCGCTATTGAGTTTATAAATGTATAATTTCAAACAAAATTGGCACTACAAAATTTCGTTTAGCGTCATACACTGATTTTGCCGCGCCACACTATAGTAGTGAGTAGTAGTAGAACACTGATTTTACCGCGTCACACTATAATATAGTAGTACAGTAATATTATACACTATACTAGTGCCGAGTAACATCATAAAACATGTACGTCATAGATATATCATATTGGAGGCACGCAACAGTAGCTTTTCGCCAATTGTTATTTCGTCTGACAAAGGCCTATTTCGGATATTTTCTGTTGTATTGTAATACTCGGCACTAGAGTACACTAATTTGCATTATATACACTATATGTAGATGTCTTATAGACGCCTATAAAGCATAAGAAATGAGATAATTGACCGTGCGCACGCTGCTGCACGGCACTGCAGACTTACACACAAATCTAGAGTGTGCACTGAGAGTAAGGCAAAGGGTATATATAGTGGATATTGCTGTGTGTCCGCGTGCGTGACTTTGTGTGCGTGTGCACAAACATAAATTGTGACCATGTGTGAATTATGCCATTATTTGTTATAAGTCGCGTCTTCTCTTTGTCAACCGTTACTTTAAATTGTTACCATAACCCATGCCGCACTATACATGTTAGGCAATTGAGCCATTTGTAAAATCACCCATATTGACAAGAACTTGTGACCACATGCTATTCTGCCCTGCCATTCACCATTATAAATTGTCTTGTATATGTCACAGTTACTTGAAATCGTTACCATAATCCAGACATCACTATATGTTTGAAACCGGACAATTAATGACGGAAATTATGCCAATAGTGTATTGTACTATTGTAACTGCCATTATGATATTATAATGCCTACCCCGATCATTTTACACGTGAAATATATGGTCATTTAATGACGTGAGAGAAATTAGCAACCCATTTTATCAAGGTAGAATTGTTCATTGTCTAACATTCGGGAACATGGAACGATGCACCGCGAGAGATGCAGCGTATGCACTATATGCGTCGCTCTGTTGTTATGTATGCGTTTCGGTGCGTATATAATACCCCTGTCACACCTTCCCGCGATCACCTTCGCACTCCCACTACGACCTGAAAAGTATGAAAGCACGAGGAAAAGCGCAGTAAGGTCTCTGAGAACGATTTGGTAATTGGTTGAGACGCAGTGGAAACTGTCAAGGACGGAAAAGGGTCGCCATGAGCTACCTTGAGCGCCAAACCTCGGCGCTTGTGTTGGTCCGGATCAAAACAAGCGCAGCGGGTCGGCGCTCTGTAATGAGCGGTGTAATGACGCAGTACAGTCGCCGTGGCAGCGCAAATCGAACTACATGAGCGTATCGTGGACGTAGCAACAACGCATAGAAGCGACTATGGGTCGCAGAAATCGTCCCCTGCGACTGGTTTGCGACTGCTGTATGATCATTGGGCTCTCCATACGTGCCTCTCCCGTTCTTATTGCGCCGTTACTGCGCTTCCACTACGCTTTCTTGGCTTGTTTCCGCTCATTCTACGTCTACACTGCGCTGCCACTGAGAATAGGACGCTCGTAATACGTCCAAGGCGTTGTTCCCACGTTTGCAATAGGCTCACAGAGCGTTCTTATTACGATACCACTTCCACTGACCCCCCCCCCCACACACACACACATTTTTTGTATAAATACAGCTTCATCTTCTATACACAATCAGTGTGCATCTGCTCTTCACCATGGCCGCAGACAGGCAGAATGTGCTAATTGTACTACAGTTAGCACATATGCAGGCACAAGATGACCAGGCCCTTGTCAACATTATTAGAAGGAGAAGAAAGAGGGAAAGAAGGGAGAGGAGATGCTGGGTTCGACCACTATCACTGCCTAATGGCCGAGCTACGACACGAAGATCCTGCATCCTTCTTTAACTTCCTGAGAGTACAACCAAAGATGTTTGATGAGCTCCTAGCAAGACTTGGTCCAAGATGCACCAAACAAGACACCATGTATAGGAAGGCTATGGAACCAGGGTTGAAGATTGCAATTACTATGCGCCACCTAGCAACTGGTGACAAGTACGCCAGTATGAAGTTTGACTTCAGAGTTCATCATAACACCATGTCTGTCCTAGTACGAGAAGTCTGCCAGGCCATCGTAGATGAGTACAAGGAGGAAGTCATCAGCTGTCCAATCTCCCCTGAAGAAGGGCGTGCCGTTGCTGAAATGTTTGCACGTAGATGGAACGTCATTCATGCATGTGGAGCCCTTGATGGAAAACATGTTGCCTGCAGAAAGCCAGCGAACAGTGGAAGCCTTTATCACAACTATAAACGCTTCTTTTCTATTGTTCTGATGGGCCTCGTTGACGCGGACTATAAGTTCCTCTGGATAGATGTTGGAGGGCACGGACACATGTCAGATGCACAGATCTTCAATGATTCAGAGCTGAATTAGTGCCTAGTAGATGGGACCATTTGTCTTCCTCCAGCAGACCCCCTACCAAATGACGACAGGGACATGCCATATTTCTTCCTGGCTGATGATGCGTTCGCGATGCGGACCACCATGATGAAGCCTTACTCGATGCGCAAGATGACCAAAGAGCAGAGGATCTACAACTACAGGATATCTAGAGGGCTTCGCGTTGTGGAGAACGCCTTTGGCATCCTTGCCCAACGTTGGCAGATTCTCCTGACCACCATGCAGCATGAACCTGACACCATACGACTGATCGTCGAGGCCTGCGTCTGTCTTCATAATTTGATGAGACTGCATTATCCTACCATTCAGAATGCTGCCTTGGATGCGGAGCATGTCAACCACCAACTGATCCCAGGTGCTTGGAGGGCTGATGCAAACATGCATGAGCTGAACAACATTAGAGGGAACAACCGTTACACCACTGCAGCCAAGAAACAACGAGAATACCTCAAGCTGTACTTCAATTCACCTGCAGGCTCTGTGCCCTGGCAAGATAGCATGATATAAAAAGTCGGTTGCAAAAAAGACATTTCAAAAGTTCACAAGTACACAGTACACAATATTGTATGTTTGAAATAAATATGGTAATGTAAAAATAAATAGTGTTTGTTCTGTTTCTTTTATGCATAATGCCTTGCTTATGTAATTTCTTAAGTGTCTTTAAATAAAGTTATATTAACTTAAACTTAAACAAAAAAATCCCAATTCCCCAAACATAAAAGTCAGACGTCCCCAAACCTGCAAAATTAAATAAACTGCGCACGCGCAGTGAGCGAGTTGCAAACGTATTGAGAGCATAGTAAGAGTGCACTGAGAGCGTACAGAGCGCAGTGGGAGCGCATTGAGAGCGCACTGAAGATCAAACTGGGAACGCATAGGATCGCAGTGAGAGCGTGATAAGCGAGTCAAAAGCGTACTGTAAGCTACTGTAAAGCTACATGGCGTCACACCAGGGTCACACCACGCCATGGATTTCCATGGACTGCGCTTTTCCTCGGGCTTTCATACTTTTCAGGTCGCAGTGGGAGCGTGAATGTGATCGCGGGAAGGTGTGACAGGGGTACTATAAGCGGCTGTGGCGATGCGTTGTATCCGAGAAAGACCGAGAGGGGACAGTGTGTGTGTAACTGCGGCAAGGAAAACACAACGAACAAATACAAGCAAACGATAGAGTTGTTTAGAGAAAAATCGTTGTTTTCGACCTCCGAGTAGGTATAGCATATGCAAACATACACAACGGTAACAGCACGCGCACATCTCATCGATTCAGGGGATATTGCGTAGCAATATCCGCCATGAAAGAAGGTGATACTCCATTAGGAGTGTTCCCAACTTTAATGTCATTAATGTCATGATATAAAAGAGATATAAAGGGGGTGCAGATCGATATAAATTCTATATCAAAAGGGGTTAGATATGAAATAGATATCAAGGGTGGTTATATATAACGATATAAAAGAGCGACGCGAGCAAGCGAAATACAGAGTGGGGGCATGTTCGCTTCGTTTCGCTGGACTTTCCTGGGCTTCGTTGCTCGAGTAAGCAAAATTGAGAACTGTACATCTGTCGCTCCGCACCATACATACGGCGGTACATGAACTCATCCAGCACAGCTGGCAACATACTCGTCCTGACGCCGTGCATGCGCTTGATGCACAGCTTCGCCTCAGACCAAAGGCCTTTAATCGTGTTCGTGCAGACTCCATCTGGGAAAAGAAACTCGTCTTGTGGCAGACGGTTTGACGATTGTAGCCAAGCCGACGTAAAGATTTGTAACTCGCGAATTCATCGGAGTAGATGGTGCTGCCATCTTGTACATGTCGTTGTATGAGCGGAAGCAACGTCGTTCGCTTCCGATCTTTGACGATGTAGAGCACACATTTACGGGTGTGCCGTTCAACGATGCCGAAAACCCAGTAGGAAGGTGCGCACGTGCCTGATTTGGACATCAATGGCGAACATATACATGATTGCAAGTACGGTCTGCAGCGAAGATGGCTGTGCGCGAAGATGCCGCCACGAATGGACACTCGGCGTCTACAGCGGTAGCAACGGCAACACCAGGTGTAGCCGTCGTTGAGTCTGGTCAGCTTCTGCCAGCGCATAGCTTTCCCGTAGCATAATGGACCGTCCTTGCGCAGTAAATTAACCTCTTTGTAGTCGATCGTGTTTTTGAGGTTTGACGAAATGCCGCACATAACAAATAAATGTGGGGTGTCCATTGTTGCAGCCGAGCGTGATGTTTCTTCTTGACAACTGAGACGAGTGTAAGTCGTGGAAGATGAGCTGTGCTATTTATACAAATGCAATGCGTGGACAATAGGCAGGGATGAGATTGGAGAATTTAATTTTCAGCTGAAATTTAAATGAGCAAACAGAGGAGCGAGCAATGCGAGGACCGTAGATCATCGCCATGCTAGGGGGGTCCAGGGGCATGCTCCCCCGGAATTTTTTTAAAAGAATGGTGCAATTTGGTGCATTCTAAGCTATTCTGAACACATTATAGGAGACTCTTGAATCACCTTTTCAAGTTGTCAAAAGGAACAAACGAACTATAAGTATAATAGGAAATCAGGGGGCTGAAAATAGGGCAAATCTTTGATAAAAGTCCTAGAATAATGATCTTGTTTCTGTTTCCACCGTCGCTTGCACTTGTTGTACTCGAATAAGCGCTTGCTGCGCACCAGCATTTGAATGAAAAAACACAATGCCGAATGAACAGATCAGTGGCATAGTCATCGACAAACAATGCACCAGCCAACATGTAAACCCGGCACCCAGGCCAAGGCATGCGTCGTTACGTGATGCAGATGACACTCAAATGTGTCTGCCCTCTACTGCAGCTGTGAATGAAGGATTTTTTTCGGGCGACGCAAAAACAGATACACTGTATACTTCGCTGTCAGCCAGCTGTCTTCACTCCTACAGTTACAGTCAGGTGCTGTGAGGGGTATAGAAATTTAAATTGTTTACATTGTTACCCCCTCCCAATTTCTCAAACGAATTTAGACGGTCAGCAAAATCGACCCCTGGACTGTCAAATCCCGCGGATTTCCGCGGATGCCGGCGAAGTCTCATTCCTGAATAGGGGATTACTATCGCGGCGGAACTTCTCGTCCTCCGAGCGTAGTCGTCGCCGCAAAACGTATCGATTGGATAATCGGTGAATGGGTGGTGTGCGATTGGTTTGACAGTCATGAACGGACATAAGTGGTGAAAGGTGTGCGCACGCAAGTGTTGCTACAGCGATATGCTGAAAATCCTACAGGTGACATTTCAATCCAACGCAGGCTATAAATATCGCACCAACGGCAAACACGTTTCAGTTCTGTTACAAGAACAACAGTTATTCGAAATCAACTGCACAACGCACGACAGCCGAAATCAGCACGACTATGGCATATGTACGACGTTCGACGCGCATATAGGAGGATGAGATCTGCCGGATTCAGCATGCGTGCATGCTAACTCCGTGCGACGTCACGGATTTCGTCGGGGACGAAGTCGCAAGCTACCTGCAATGCCTGGTGAAGAAATGTACGTCCAATGCAATGTTTCTACTCAGCGCATTCATCGGTTTCATTGCGGGACTGATGCCCACCTGGGTGGAGGTCCGTGGAGCAGGATTGCAGCAGCCACTGAACAGCTTCGTAATCATCGTCGGCCGTAAAGGCCCAGTCACACATTCAGGATTTTTACTGCCATCCTTGATGGGACCATTCCCGATTAAAATTTGTCAAAAGTCTGATCAAGATCCTGTGATTCGTTGCGGTAAATTCAAACTATTAAAAATTTGTAAAAACGTTTATTTAATCACGACAACAATCAGATATTGTTTAGTAAGCGTCCCGATTCAGCCGAATTCGTCCCAATTCTCCAGTTCTCAATCCGATTCTGATCTGATTTGTATCTTTCGCATGGTAAAAAACGACCAAATCTGTCCCGACAGCATCCCGATTCTCCCGAATGCGATCCGACAGAGATCAGACAGTGAACCGATGCTGACGGAAGACATCCGTTAGAAAACCGTTAGTCACGTGATAGTCCCGTCCTATAAAAAGAATCGTGCGAAACGGATGATTCTCACTCCAGTCTCAGCAGTTCTACAAGGAGCATCACCGTCAGTTATTGGCAGATTGTCTCCATTTAAATTATATAATTTCATCTTTATAAGGATTAAGTTACTTCACTATGCCTGCTAGTAATAAGCCTGTGCCTGCCAAGAAGAAAGCTGCAAGACAACTAAGGAAAAGGAAGCCTATTTCTATTTCTCCTATGCATTCATCTGCTGAAGATTCTGGTGGTGATCGTTGTTGTGTTGTGTATTGAAATCTTGTTTACAATATTGTGCTGCCACCTATACGGTGTTATGGTAACTATGTAGGCTACCCATAAGTCTCTCTCTTTCCGGTGTACCATGTAATAACGGCATGCAATAAATACGAGTTCCATTTACAAGAGCAGATTATTCTTTATATAAGAACTTTGAATACAATAATCGTGAGCCAGTTGAAGAAGTCCAGCAAGTCCAGCAATTCACGACTAATACACATACTGCTTCTACCTCAACAGCTACTTCTGCCTCTGCTTCTCTGCCCAAGAAACCTCGGAGCAGTGGCTTCATTGCTGAAGAGGATGAGGAAAAGATGATAAAATGGCTCCAGGAGAACAGATTTATCTACGACATGAAATCAAAGCAGTATAAGGATAAATCGGGAGAAACACTACACACATGAGCCTTTTATACTCCAGACGTGAGCAGTTCAGCCGAATCTCGAAATCCACGCATCTGGAATCCTACAACTGTCGCCATATTCGGGATGATCCTCACTGACGGTCCTCACTGTCGGAACGCAATCCTATCACAGTCTGATGTACCGCATTGCAAACGGCTTTGTCTGGACTCAGTCGTATCGTGTTCTGTAATTGCCGGGACTCTGACGTGGGTATTATTGCCGAATTTCGTATTAATT